ATTTTGAAAGTTAATGAAAATTGGACACGGTAACGAATGGTTGCAATTTCCAGCAAATATCTCGTCACTCTTGCAATGAAACACAATGGGAGTTAAACAGCTGGAAAGAGGAAGAAATTCTGCATCGGATACATCTTGAAGTATTTGTTTATCTTCATTCTAGCGTGTTTGCCGATGGATTGAAGAAACTGACAAAGTTTTTACGCCAACCTAATATAACAGGTTGTCCCATAAGTTCCGTCCGTTTAAACTTAAATCGCAATGAGTCATGAGCTTCTTGGTTCTAGACAGTTGTAAGGTACCATTCGATAGAGCAAAGCAAGCTCTAAAAGGTGGCTTTCTTAATTCCGCACTAATTCAAATCCATCTCAAGTTCGAAGCCAAAAACCAAAAAGATCTAACTGCCCAAAAAATAAAGAAAAAATCGTAAGTTCTTCCAAAAAAAATCCTAGAAAAGCCCTAATTTGCTTACAGATATGCTATCTATATCAGCAATCTATGTAGACTGTTCCTTTTTCTTGGATAGAAATCAAGAATACGAAAATTTTCATATTCTTGCCAAAGTGATGCTGTGCTGTACCCACGTTGGTATTTGTGTACTACAGACCAATACAAGTACAGACACAAATTTTTAGCGCTCTGCAGGCATTAGTTCTCGAGAAACATTGAATTTAGCTTAGCACAGTCGGGTGTCCCATATTAAAACGATTATCTCTTGAGAGCTAAAGCATGTAGAGCGCAGAAAATTTATGTTTGTACTTGTGCTGGCCTGTAGTATACAACTATTAGTGTGAGAACAGCGCAGCATTATTTTGGCAAGAACCATGAAACAAGGAAAAAATACAGAAATCTTATATATAAAGCTGAATGTCTGTTTGTCTGTATGTATGTATGTATGTCTGTGTGTACGTATGTTCCGAATAGAAAATTCCATTTCTGAACCGATCCGGACCAAACTTGGCACACATACACTTCGGGCCCCGGCGGGTGTCATAGGCTACTTTTCGTCATCGATCGATATCGATTTTATCGATTTTTATCGATTTTTTTGCAGAGATCACCTACGGGGCTGGGAGTTGGCACAGGGGGGTAATCGAGCATGGGGATTCCGAATACAATATTGGTTTTCAAGATTATCGATTACTTTTATCGATTTTATCGATTTTTTTGCAAACTTTGAGCTACGGGGCTGGGAGTTGGCACAGGGGGGTAGTCGAGCAGGCTGATCATCCCCAAGGGGGGGGGGTGATCAGCATGCTCGATTACACCCCTGTGCCAAATTCCGGCCCCCTAGCTCAAATTTTCAAAAAATCGATAAAATCGATAAAAGTAATGGACGATCTTGAAAACTAATATTGTATTCGTAATCTGCATGCTCGATTACCCCCCCTGTGCAAACTCCCAGCCCCGCAGGTCAAACTTTACAAAAAAAATCGATAAAATTGATAAAAGTAATGGACGATCCTGAAAACTAATATTGTGTTCGTAATTAGCATGCTCGATTACCCCCCTGTGCAAAATCCCAGCCTCGCATGTCAAAATTTACAAAAAATCGATAAAATCAATAAAAGTAATCGATAATTTTGAAAACTAATATTGTATTCGGAATCCCCATGCTCACTTCCCCCCCTGTGCCAACTCCTAGCCCTGTAGGTGAACTCTGCAAAAAAATCGATAAAAATCGGTAAAATCGACATCGATCGATAACGAAAAGTGGACTGTGACACCCGCCGGGGCCCGAAGTGTATGTGTGCCAAGTTTGGTCCGGATACGGCGGAGTCGGGTAAGCCAGCTAGTAGTCTATATAAATGGCTGATGTGGATAGCCTATCTGTGAGCAAGTTAGGAATTTTCCAGGATTTTTTTGGAAGGAGTTACGATTTTTTTTATTTTTCGGGCGGTTAGATCTTTTGATTTTTGACTTCATACTTGAGATGGATTTGAACTGATGCGAAAGTAAGAAAGTCATCTTGTAGAGCTTGCTTTGCTCTATCGAATGGTACCTTAAATTGTGTCTAAAACCAAGAAGTTCATGACTTATTGCGAGTAAAAAAACGGACAAAACTTATGGAACAACCTGATATTAGGTTGATGCATAATTCCTGCACCAAAATATACAGACCGCAATAACTCGGAAGTATCCTATATCCCAAGTAGGGCTCGATATATCATTGAATAGAGCAAACCTAGCTCTACAAGACAGTGCTCAAGTATCTACACCAGCTTTGATCCACGCGAAGTATTGAGCCGGAAACTGAAAAATCCATGCGCCAGAAAACCTTAAGACCAATAAAAACAAAATTGTAACTTCGTTCAAAAAGCTCCTACAAAATTTCTTTCTTGCTCACGCGTAGACCTTCACGTAAGACATTTATCTATATGATAACTGTGGAGTTTTTTAGCTTGACGATGAGAAAACGAAGTTTTCATGTTTTCGCCAAATTAGTGTTGAGATGTTCTAGCACTAACAGTTGTACAGTACATGCCATTAGCAGTAAACTTTACATTTTCAACCTTCTAGAACTGGTAGTTCACAAGAAATGACAAATCTAACTCTCCTTATCCGAAATTTTTCCTGCCTACTCAGACAAACGCCGGGGGCAGGCGGGCTCCGGAAAATGCGCGTTGCTGGAATTTTGCATTCCGCTCCCAAATTTCAGGAAAATGTACAGCGAGATTTTGAGAGACCGCCTGTTGAATCTTTTTTCGCTCTTATCTTTTGCGGATATATTGCTGAATCTCTGAGGAATCGAGAACTCAGCAAGCGGCGTCCCGAAAAGTCGTGATTGCTTTCTAAAAAATTCGCGAGCGGGGTGCAAGAAATCAGCCATCTGTTTCTCCGGTGCCCGCCTGCCCCGGTGATTATTGAGCAGTTGATAAAAATTCGATTTCTAGTAAACCAGCTGCTGTAAAGAGCTGAAAATTCACACTCACGCTCTAAGGTCCTATAGTATACAACTGTCAGTGCTAGAACATCTCAGCATTGTTTTGGAGAAAACATAAAGACTTCGTTTTCTTAATTTCTGGCTGAGAAAATATAGCAACTGCATAGAGAAATGTCTTACACGAAATGACAATGCAAGAGTATGTTAGAAACTTTGAAGGATTTTTCTGAGCAAACTTCCATTCTTCTTGGTTTTTTGGGCGCTTGGATCTTTTTGATTTTTGGCTTCAATCTTCGCTTCGATCAAAGCTGCTGCAAAACTTCAAGCACTATCCTGTAGAGCTAGGTTTGCTCTATTTAATGATATCGAATCCTATTTGGGGTATATTGGATTATTCCGGATTATTGCGGTTTGTACCTAATTTGATCAGGAATTATGCATCAACCTAATATACAGGGTGCGGCAAAACTCTGGGAGCCTAGTACGTTTTCATATAAAATGGGAAGGGAAGCACCTAGAGACGAGAAATTTGTCGCACGCATAATTCGATCCACTGCAGATACAGCTCAGTTCGTGAATTTCGAAATTGCCTCTTTTGGCTTCCACGCAGCCCTACAAAATCTTGGCAAGTCCACCTGTCACGGCACGTAGGTAGTCGTAATGAATTTGCCCCACGCCTTCACAATAACTGATTCTTTTACCTTCGCAAATGTGCAGCAGATAGAGCAAGCTTTTATCTACAACATACTTCCAAAAGAATTTTTTGCATTGCTTTGCAATAAAAATATTGGATTTTCAATTAGAAGCATGTGCACGTCGCATACCGGAATTTTGGCTACAATTGCGCGAATAAAAACTTGAAATTATCGTTTAAAAAGTATAAAAAGTGTTCCCATGGCCAAATTTTAATCGATTCCAATTTAGAAGACGTAAGCAAAAATTACAGCCTTGGTCCCAGTGCCTGTTGAGCATTCTATAGCTTTTAAATTTGTTCTGAAGACGGATTTCTACTCACGTAGGCAACATTCGCAAACTTTTATTTTCCGTTTATGCAAGAACAGCTCCTGGCAAAAGTAAAACTAGGATACAATGGCGCAAAGCCTCTTCTATGTTGTGTGCATCGAAGTTTTGTAAAATATTGACATCTCTAGCTACAGCAAAAATTGTAAATACTAAAAATTCTGCTTTTTCCGCTTTGCAAAAGTACTAGTTTGGTAATTTCCATTCTTACATAAACATGTGGCAGCCATTTCCATCCAAATAAGTTTTTTGTAGGGGATGACCGCAGCATCATGTGGCATAAAATTGAAATCAAAACCACCACTGCCTTTGTAATTGCAATACTGCAAAGTTAGGCTCCCAGACTTTTGCCGCACCCTGTATAGATAAATTCTAATATGAAGTGAGGAGGTAACAAAACTCTCCCTCCTTTTTTGCTAGAGAGTCAAATTAGACTAACAAGGCGCACTCCATTTAAACCATCTTGCAAGGCTGATACGATCAAGGGGAAAACGCATATTTGAAAGTGGCAGAGACCAATTTTTCTAAAGGTGGTTTTCGATTCGCCGGCTCGCAGCCCTTGGTCATGGCTTATTCCAAAAGTTCTATCCGTTTTCGACGTTCAACTTCATTCACCAAATCTATCTTCAGAGGTGACTATTGCAACTGTGATGAGATGTGCTACATCCACAAATGCATAGTAATCCAATACATACCCAAAAATTATTGCTAAATAGCGAAAATAATTTTCTAGGCAGAGAAGGCCGAGCATCTTATTGAGAGACCATAATTTCACTTCCACTGTGACTGCACAAGCACTGCTTGTTGTGTAATTGGTAGCCGGCTAAACAAGTATCAAATTTCAAATACGCTCAATTTTTTAAATGAATTTTTGTAAAGAAACGTCACTTGTTTCGCTTTCTTTAAAGTCGAAAATGACACTTTTCCGAATTTTCTGATTTCATTGGCCATGATATGAGTGTTTTCTTCGTTTTTTAAATCAGTTCAAGCACTGCGCCGTACACAGGTTGCATGCATATAGGCACACACAAGTACAAATTTTCTGCTTTAACTTTGTAGAGACATCACTGCATTTGCTCTGATATACTACTTGCAGATGAACCGCTTCACATAAATTTGGGGTCTTTGCAAATGCCGGTGGTAATAAATCCTCATCGCAATGGCTATTATAGACAGAATTATGACAGTGTTGGATGGGAGCTTATAGCAGCGCAGTTTACACAAAATTCGGTAGGTTTGTCTTGGTATTTTTGACCAATTCTTAATATCACCACAAGCTTTGTTGTTTTCGTGTTGGTAAAGGCATTGACGTTGGTCAGCCTAATAGCTTACAGGTGTTTGATCGGTATACGAGATACGTGCTTCTGAGCGATGCATTTTCTGCAGCTGCTATCGGTCAGCTGGAATACGAACTTGTATTTAAGCTCATTCGGTACGCTTACTCATCCAAAAAAGGTGAAAAGGTAAACCATTTTTGAATTGTGACTAAATCTATAGTTTCTGCTCTAATAACAGTACTGGTTAGTAAGACAACTTTCTTTTTACATAATAGTTGAAGGAAGAGGCTACTCAAGCACATCCAAACCAAGGGATTCTACCAATAAATTTACAAAACATAGGAAATTTCAGCTTATGCAACAATCCGCCGTGAATATGCTTCCTATTAGATAGTCTTTTCGCATGGGTAAACAATGAGAAATACAGACCCTTGAAGCAATATAATTCAAAGGATTTGCTGCTGCCCCCACGAGTTACTAACGTCCAATCTCCGAAATCTCTTGAAATCTCAAGAATTCATGAATCCCGTCACATTGGTCGAGTGTCTTGATTTGGTACATCCAAGCATTCGAACATATTTGCATTCGAGGTTCGAAAATTGGAATATTCTATTTTCGATTACAATTCGATATCTCGAAATATTGAAAACCGAAATTTTAAACAATTGAATGTTTTATTCGAATGTTTTATTCAAGTTCATATTCAAGTAAAAGTCGTATCCGAATCATTTAAATTTGGTGCAGAGTCAGTCACGTTGACTGAATTGGGTAGGTAGCAAGTTTAAATATGATTATTCTAAATATTTGATTAAATCACTCAAAAACATCAAAAACTCAACCCTTAATGTTTGATTATCGGTTTCGTTCATTCGAACTTTTTACAAAATTTTCGAATTCTTCGGAAATCGTTTGTCCAAATGTTTGAGTTTCGAGATCGTTCGACATTCGTTTATTTGATACTTTCAATTTTCGAATATCACTAACTATTCATTAGAAATCTCGTATTCGATTTTCTTTCATTCGATGAAAATTCCCCAAAGTATACTGCATAGAATTTTTTCTTCAGACATGTGATTTACGAATTTTGAGTTTTTACGACGTTTATACTACAGCTCTCAAGAGTCTTACGTGATTTTTCGCTAATTTCGCCCTTGCATTCAACTGCAGCTCTTAGAACATTACAAAATGTCAAGCGTTTACAGCAAAATTCTCTCAAGGGCGTCAGTTTGAAAGCGACGTCCACCTACGGTGTGGTGATATTCACTTGCAATAGCAGAGCTCCTGATTGGATGTCGCTCAAGTGCCCATGCAAAAGTCAACTGAACCCCAAAAAATTGCTTTAATAGGTAGAAGCTAGGCTGGCTCCACTTCAACGCGGGTGGGTCAAATATAAAATATGGGTTTGGACATGATGTGTCTAAATACAAAGTTCAATAAATTTGTATTATGCCGAAAATTTGATAACTGTTAATGAGTGGCGTGACATTTATTTTGATTCCATAAACATTTTCTTCAGTTCACCCACTTTGGTGGTGGAACCTCCACTGAGGCTTCTATTTTTTGGATCAACTTTCTCAAATCTGACTTGATCTTCTAAAGCGACGAGCAGTACTTGAGGGTTCCATTAATGTATCGTATAAAAATCTGGCCAAACTTATTCGGTAGATAGCCTCTCTAAAAGCTGCTTCAAAATGAATTCGAACGCATCTTAAAAAGCGTTTAACTTCCTTTCATAGAAAGATGTTTGATTTTTAAAAGCTTTGGAGCCTGGAAAAAATTGATAAGTGGGCGACGAGCAACGAAACAATTTTTGGGGTGATCTATAAAAAACGTGAGCATCCAAACATCAAGAATATGAGTTCAGTATCTTTTAGTCGAAGTGGTCTTTTCATATAGCATCACGCCATTCGAACGATAATACATCTGCTTTTTTTCACTTTGGAACAATTTTCAGAAAGAAGTTAGTGTTTGAGAATCTACATTTGTCGTGCAATACACAAAATTAACGAAAATCTTACGGCTGTAAGTAGGTAATCATATTTGTATAAAGTTTATCTACTGCAAGAAGGAGCACAGCCCATGGAAGCATATGTATTTGTACAATTTTTCGCCCATTTTCTGGCACTTAAGGCTTGATAGATTTACAAAATCAAAACTGAGCGCTTTTGTAAAAGAGGTGTTCCGCAGAAAAGGAAGGATTTGGGCGCTCCACAAAGTGATATAGGTGTCATGTGGAAAGGCACTTCAACCAAGGTTTCCCTTGTGTGCAATCCAATTTTTTCACCGTACCACTGATCAAATATAGTATCTGCAAATACTGCATAGATGACAAATATTAGCCTTCAGTACGTTGGCCATGCATGAAAAATGCTACTTCCACCAATGTTGTTCTATTCTTACGTTACAGCATTGGCTACCATGGAAAGCAATTGTAGATGGGATGTACAAAATATATGCAATGTATCGTAGAAGAGAGGAAAACGCTTCATATGTATGGGTTAGTGTGCGATAATCTTCTTCATTGCTAATTACCGTACGAGAATGGAAATATATGCTATTTTTAAGTGCTTTTGTGAGAAATAGGTTTGTTAGGTGTTCTTTATGCTGTCCAATCACGGCCTTACGCTCTAAAGTCCTTTCGCTTTCCCGATGGTTTCGGCCGCTGAAATTGTACCATAAATGCTTATAAGATGTGATCTACGGTTTGCATGGCTCTGCGATGATCAACAGCTGCTCGTTTTTAATGTTCACTGTTGGACTCTTCGCAGAAATCCAGAATGCTTCGAGTGCGTTCCTAGCCGAGGTTTCCTTTTCATTTGCCAAGATTTGACGTTAAGAATTTAAGATATAGGATTCGGCGCCTTACCCTTTGCGGGTATGCGCCGAATGCACTCAATTTTACAGTCGAAGAGGGCGTGTGGCCTTTTACGTGATTCGCGGGGCCCAGCCGATTACCAGATCAGTGCTTTTATCTCCCAGATTACTCTGGTACCGAATTACCGGTCCAGGAGGGTAGAGTGCCTGGTTGGCCTGGTTGGCCCAGGGAGGAGAAAATCGCTCCACCATTCGATTCGTTCCTAAGTTGCCAAGTATTGAAAACAGACTTATGCATTCCATCTGCTAGATGTCCTTTTAACAAGTAGTGAGGATTGCTTTAGTTTGCCTTTTATAGATAGCATAGTAGCTAATACATTCAATTGCAATTTTTGCGGCAGGAATGATGAACGAAGGTCGCAAACTAGCAGAAATAGAAATGATGCTTGATGGTTTCGCTTCTCAAGTAACGCTTTGAGCTTCGCCCCTCTGAGGAACACGAAAAGGCATCGAAACGTAAGACCGTGTTTGGAAAGAATATTGTACACCTAATAAAGCTATTCGGTACAGAAGCATCTAAATATTGACTATTATACAGGTTTAGTGGAACTATAGGAATTATAAAACGAAATATATATTGCATACATATCTTCTTTAGTCATACCTAAACAGAGTGTTGCGACCGATTGCTTATGAAATTCGTAAGAAATTTCTTGCTGAAGAGACAGAATTTGCTAAATATATAAGAAAGCAGAACGAATCTTCGAAGGAGCGCATCACTGGAAGATTGGATTGGAAATCAGTGAGATGGGAATCCAATACTGCTTTGTAGGTTTAAATTGTACCAATTATAACATCATAATTCTTGTTAGCTAGTCGTTAATGCGAAGATGACCTTGAATGAACAGTTTAAACTGATCAAAAACTGCCGCACGACAGAAACCTATCAAATCGCATAAGTGAACGAATATTTACGGTAAATAAAGTTTGGAGTGAAAAAGTCATAAAATGCATTGAAACTGTAGGACAATCTTCTTTCTTTCTACAATCGAAAGATATCGACATCAACTTTTGAGGCAAGCTAAAATTTTAAGTAGGCAGCTTCGCTGCCAAATCATACCTTCTATACACAGAGCTATGTACTCTGGTAATCTTCACTTTGAGCGTCCTGATATAACATAACCTTTACCTGGAGAAAAGTACAGAAGTCTCCGGGGTGAAGCCCCAGATATTAATGACATAACTAACGACATAATCATGTAGGGATAAATGTGAATGAGGCGAATATAGTAGTGACATCCAAAAAAAGCTCAAAAAACCAAAAAATCGCCTTTTTATGGCCTTTTTTGCTGAAAAGAAGGCCATAAAAAGGCCATTTATTCAAAAATTTAATTATAAACTAGGACAAAACTCCTCAAGTAGCCTTTTCCGAGACTGCAATTGAGCGTTGAAAGTTCATGAAGGCTGCTCGAGTTTGATAAAAACGAGAAACTGCGCTCAAATTTTGCGCAGAGGATCGCCACATAAATCTGGTCTATGTCGTTATGGAGTGACCAGTGCGTCACCTCTGCTTCGCAGAGGCTCGCACTGGCTCTACTATCCATATGCCTCATTACTTTCCCATAATGATGGCACTGAAACTCACCGCGCAGTGGCCGACTACCACGAATAGGATGTAGACAACCACTCATTCTAACAGCTTTTTCACGTGAGATTTCGCGAGGATGGAACTTTTCGCCGAAGAACAAATGCAAATTTGAGTGGGTTCCTGGATTTTTATGGTTTGGTAGTTGCCGTAAGGCCAATAGCCACCGTGAGCAACACTTCTGCGTAAAAATCTTCTCAAATGCGCCAGTAGAACGTTTTCAAATTGACCATTTACGCAACCAATCCACTATGGCGTCATTTTCGCAAAGTAGTGGATTTTTGCCCATTATTTGGGCTGGAGTCCAAGGCTTGCACATTTACTTGTCAAACACCTCAACGACTTCGCAAAAAGTGCTGATAGGGACCCAATTTTGTAAGTCAGAAGCAAAGTGGATTCGTTTGACGCGCAATTTCTGTGAGTTCCACTCAACGAATCCGCTCATGCTTTTGCATGGTGGAGTTTTGTGCTGGTAGCATGTGCTGTGCAAAATTTGGGCCCAGTACGTTTGCTGGAACACGCTCCACGAATTTCGTAACAGACACACACACACAAAGTCACGTAAACATCCTTAGCCCGTTATCATTTATGGAGTGATTTTCAAAACTCGCGACATTATCAGTGCTCCTGGCCGTATAATGAGGATCACAACGATATAGAATGTTATAGGGTTTCATTATGACCCCGCGGAGATCAATGGCCAAAGTCAAATGCCCTGCCGCTCTGGTCGGTCTCCACTGCTCGTCTGCGTCTCGTGCGCGTTGCGCACTACCTCGCTACCTCAAACGCGGGGCGCGGGGCATTTGACTCTGCTATCCTTTTCTTCGTTGTTCCGAGCCCAATTACGACATTCTATATATCATATCAAAGCTCTTGATCTCTATTTTCACGCTAACAATGTCGCAAGACTCCTTTTTATGATTTAAACGAAAAATCTGAAAAAACGGCGTTTTCGAAAACCTCTTGTTTTTTCCTCAGTCTAACTCTTTTTAGTCGGTTTTTTGTGTATTGGATAGGTCTTCTTCCTGTCTATGATGTAGACAATGTCGTCGAGCTTACTTCTTTGCTTATGTCGGTTTTCTGCGAAAATTACTGAAAAGTGCGCTTTTCTTTACCTTGTTCTCCTTCTGTGCTTTCCCAACAGACTTTTTCCAGCTTGGACAGTACTTGCTCAGAATGATTAGCGGAAAAATTCAGACAACGTCGCAGGATACGAAACGACTATGCGGGGGTGAAAATTGAAAGGACCATCAAAAATTAGATTGGCGTCGATGTGCAAAATATCTTTTCTGACGTGTTTAACATTTGTTAACATGTTTTCCTTCTTCCACAGCTAAACAGCGCTTTTTTAGCTGGAAAAAATTTTTGTTCTTGTTGTAAGTCCTCTTGTCTTTGAAGCTTAGCATGTTCTTGCAGGTGAATAATTTTAATTGTTATATTATGCCGTACAGGTTGTTATAGATGATATACTTTGTTGCCCGACGTTTAGGCAAGACGCCGTTTTCAAAGGGTGAAAAGGCGTTAATCACATTGATACACGATCTCTGCCGCCAAATATCTCCACTTTTAGTACTTTGTTCTTGTTGCCACCCAATCTATCCGGCAATCCTGTAGAGGAAACTGTGCCTAAAAAAACCACCAAGTTAAGCTTTTAAACTTGATGATGTGCCAACCTCTGCTTTATATGAATTTTTCGCGGTTCCTGGTTCAATTCATATCTTTGAATATCCATCTATATTTCTGAAACAACCTTCACTTTTTGTAAGGGGCAGGAACTTCAATAACTATCACTTTCTAAGTTCTGTCTCTTGACTATCGAAGGTACGTGTCAAACACAGTTAGTTCAGATGTAATGAGCGTTTTTGTTGCTAAACCTGTCTAAGATGGGGTTTTTTGCTCGTCGGCAATTGCCCTCGTAAATGAACTTCTCCATCGTGCATTTGGTGATATTATTGGAAAAAAACATGAAACCTTTGTCAGCTGTTCACACCTTTTTTCAAGCAATCAGAATCTTTCTGATTCTTCTGTCAAGATGAAAGCATAAGAGAAGAAAATACTTCTAATTCCTACGTGCTGATGGGTAAAAATGACAGTGAAAGATGCGCGAGTATCGACACCCACCAGCTATCTTTCCTCATGCTTGTCACTCAGTTGGCAGCTAAGGATCATCGGATGTCCCCTTTTCAGCTGGCTTGGCGGCTGAAAGAGGACTTCCGTGACCTAATTAAGTGTGAATGATAATCAGAGAGCACGCTCGCGAAAGAAGCAGGCGCATGCGGCCTTAATTAGGTCAAAAGCCCCGCCTTCCAGCGGCCAAGCCAGTTGAATCAAAGATTAGATTGCGCGAGATTTGAATCTCGAGGGCTTGAGGTACAAAGCCTTCTTTAAAGCTGTACTTCCTTTTCTAGCCTGTATGTTTTACGCATGAGTCCCTGGCAAAGGAAGGATACTAATTGAGATTCCCTTTGGAGATGTGAAACATACATTTGGAATCAGCTTTGAACGCTGTTTCAGATGCTGCTCCTAGCTGCTTAGCGCTGTTCTGAAACAAGTTATGGGTTTGCTGTTGTGAGTAAATAACATGCTTCTAAGTATTGTAAGACGGAGTGTAGATAGAATCTGCTCGAAAAAAATGCTAGGATGTTAAACTATAACTATGTTCATTTACGCATGAGTCCCTGAGTTATTTCCCCGAGTTGCTTTCTTACTAATCCTCCCCTTCCCCCGCCACTCGGCACCATTTTCCGTCCCTCTCAGGGCGAAAACTGACTTTTCGCATTATTCTAATCGCGATATCAAGTTGAGCTGGAGAAAATGAATTTTCAGAAAAAAAAACGTCAAAAATCAAAACTAGTGAAAGAAGTATTTACCTTCCTGTACCAGTAAAAAAATAGTCTGTGATTTTGCTCGGTGTCCAATAACTATGTGGGCAAAGTTTTCCGGCTTGTTGATAAAGTTCTCCGTCGTAAAGCAAGTGCCGCTCAAACGGTCATTGCCGCGTTCACATACTATACGTTCACAAACACATCACTTACTTCGTACGGTCTCTAGCAAGTTCCACAGAATAAATTTCGAACATTTGCGCCAAGATTCATATCGAAGTTTGAAACTAGAATTTGGAAAATAGACAACCGCAATATTGAAAAAAAGACCCATGGGCACGCATATACTGTCTATATAAAATTCGCTGCAGGATTGCGCGACTTTCCTGGCTGCCGAGAAAAACAAGTTTGGTTTGGTTTTAACGAAGCAATTCTAGGCTGCTCCCACATACGCAGTTTAAAACTTCAGATTTCATATATCGTCAAACCTTCTGAAGATGGGTTTAGGAGGATGCTTAGAATTAGTAGCATACAAAATTATCACGTATTTTTTTTAGAAATTTTTACTTGTTTTTTCTTTCTTTTAGCTTCGTTGGATGGATATGGGATAGCATACAATTTGTTTGTTCATCTGAAAAACTTACGTCGGTTGCCGCGCAATGTGCAGGCTCACATCTTGAATTACGAATGTCTCAACGATATGTAGAAATTTTTTTCCGTGTTCCTCCAGCCTCTTCCCATTCTCCTGCGCTTTCGTGATTTATTCTTTGTAACTTCAGCGCTCACTGAAGTTTGCAGAAAAAGCCAAAGTTTACATATGAAATGCGTCACTTTGAAACAAATGTTGTATTCTATGCCATTTTCCTGCCCTCAATGTGCCTGGCAAAGTTTGGTTCGCATTAGCTTAGAAATGAAACGTTCTCTATGGAACATGCGAACAAGTGGACACAAACTGACAGAGCTTTACCTACAAAATATGCTGAATAATCGAAACTGTCTTCATTTGCTCACGACGGAGGTCTCCTGCTCCCCGCCCACTTGCACGTAATCTCCACTAAATGCGGGAATATAAAGCTTTGGAAAAAGCTCATTTTTGCCATTTTTATGCGCTTAAAAGCACAGATATGGGTTCATCATGGCGAGAAGGCTCCGAAAAGGTGAAAAGAAATTTTGCTAAGACACTGTCTCTACGTTGGGGTCGTTCTCTCGTTAGAGGAAAAAAGGCTAGCTCTCCAAGTAACCCTCAGGGGCTTATCTGTACAACAAAGGCAGTGTCCGGAACAAGGTCGGGGATCTTGGGATATCATTCATGCGAAGCGGTTTCCTTGCGGACATGGCATCGCGCAAGTGCAAGGCCACGAAGTTTAAGCAGGAGCGTACAATCAGAAAGAGAGAATTAACGCACTGCGCATGTCCACCTGCGGATTTGCTGCTCTGTGGCAGAATACGCATGCCGTCACAGTCGAGTTCTAGGTCCTGAGGTGACACTGCGTCTTGCGGGCACTGTTCCACTCGTCCAAATTCAATTTGTAAGACTTTCAAAAAATCATATTTTCGTCGTCTTCGCGCTTTCTAACTTTTTTTTTGGATTCATCGTTGCGGATAACCCCATTTGAGTGAATTTGCTAGAAATCGAGTTCTACTCGGGACACTTCTTTTAGGTGCCGCCAAATCTTCACTACTAACATGGAAGAATCGGAAAAACTTTAAAATAAAGGAAAAATGCTCAAGGAATCCGTGGTTCAACTATGAAATCAAGGGCCGCATTCAACATTCGCGCTAAGGAGAGGAATAGAGTTTGAAATGAAGCTTCACATCAGGGCCCGGCAGGAGGTGGCATTTCAGAATTTTGAAAACGATATCCCCTTTGAAGCCAAAATTTCTTACGACTTCCCCTTTGACCCTATTTTTGACCAGCTATACACAAATGATAAGATAGGCGGCCTCAGCGCTTATTACAGTAGTACTACCTGGCTTTCCTGGTCCAGCCCGGGTCATCGTTTGAGGGGATGGCCAAAAACCACACTTTATCCTTCTACCTTCCCGTCCTTTTGGGCCATATTCTCCACCCCTTTTCTGCAGTATCAATACTGCACTGCAGCCCTCCCCCTTATCCTCATGCACGAGCTTACCCCAGAAGGGCTTAGTGGGGTGACTGAACATTCTAATTTTAGAGTGGAAATGAACTTCACTGCATTATTCATACCAAAATGTGCAAGCAGTTTGTTAGCGGCTGGTAAGTGTTCACTTCCCTGCAAGGTGCCAAAAATCATTAAATCGATAGAAGAATTCTACGAATTCCTTCGAAGGGTAGTTTAAAACTATCTACCGAGACCGAAAACATATGTTTTCAAGGTTTCAGCTCAATGGGTTCATCCGCAAAGGAATCTATAAAAAAACATAGGGTCAAGATTTACACAAGCTTTGACGTTTATATATCTAAGATACTACTCATTTATTAGTCAGCTGCGAAACTTTACAATTTACAATAACCGATTGCGATTGGAGCGCGCTTTCCGAGGCCGATCATAACGCTGTGAACCCTATTTGGGGCTGTATCGAAGCGGTGTCTTGGTGGTTTTGGAAGCGGATTTGAACATATAGTAATACTCTCGACCTAGTCCCTATAGGAAATCCGGGAAATTATGTGAAGGGAAGCAGGGAGCCACCCCAGGTTGCTCCCAGGTGGCGCGGGAGCCACCTAATTTCGAAGAACACTTGCCATTTTTTGAATTCACATAAGTTCCTCATTATTCTTCATACTTTTTTGTGCTCATGGTCCTCCAACTGTACAGCTAATTTGGTGCCATTTCGTTACTTGTGCATTGAAAATGAGCCTATTTTGTTATTTTTCTCTTACAAAATTGCGATTTGAATTCCCGCCTGCGGGCAGGCCAGCGATCGGAGCACAGAATCTTCACATTGCTGGAATCTAAGTTCATAGGACAGTAGCACTAACAAGGAATGATGAATAAAAAATGATATGTGCATTGTTCATCGGTAAAAAAGGGGAAGTCGTATTTTGGGGTTCGTGGCGGAGCCCCGGACCCCAAAATACGACTTCCCCTTTGCTTTTTCGGGCCAAAAACGATATCCAGCTTGTGAAAGTGCCACCCCCGCCGGGCCCTGCTTCACATCCTGAAGCTACAATGTCCTGTCTTTACTACTTCACTATGAACGTAGGATAAGAGCGAGTCGCAGGTTGTGCAAGATACATGCTTCGCTTTTCATATGATTTCTTGATAATCCCAAGCTGCCAGTTGCCTCTTCTTCGAAATTATCAACATTTCGTTGAAATCAAAAGAAGTATACTGATAATACAACCCAGCATTGCTAAGGACGGTTCATGCATCGAAGTTATGAAACCTGAACCAAGTCAAAAGTTGAGGTTTTTCAATAGTCTCAATATCTCAATAGCCCATTTCTTCTTATCAAAAGCATAATCCGCAGAATTTACTTGCAGCCAGCCTTTACTGCAGTGCTCAACAAGCTCAACAGTTAAGGTCGTACTTAGCAGTGGAAATACTTCAAAACTAATCCGATGATTTTATCGAGGTTTTTAGTGATCATATTTTACATCATACCTATCATGCAAAAAGATAACAGTCAAAGCTTTTTCTGAGCTTGCGCAAAATTTTATGTGCCCGCATGTTTTTACTGAGTCTATTTAAGGGAGGTTCTCATGTAATGATATGAACAAGTTGTGCTGAATTGACTATTGTGCTTGCTCACAAGACCGACGATCATTTTTCAGAGTGAATTTTTTGCCTAAAATTAGGAAAGAGAAACAAGACTAATATGCAGATCGGACCTTAGCCACATTATGAAGATTTGAGCGACATACTGTCAACATAGCCAAAACTTGGACTTTTAGAAACGTTGCGGTCTCTGTTCTCGATCTGTACTGCAGACTTGGATCAGCATGCTCTTCGTTGTCCCGCTCACTTTTCGAGCGCGAGGTTCTTCATCGTTGTGATGCCACTGCAAAAGCAAGTGAATGTGTTGGGTAAGTACGTTTTTAAAGGAAGAAGAGAGTATAAAAGTATAGAAGTAAAGATAAAATGTATGCCAAGCTTCATATACTAATGTTTGAATGTATACCAAAAAATTTCTATAAATAATTTTCCGAACAAAGCAAATGGAGGACTACCATGCTCGAATTACTTCGAAATCAAAAGTGTGGGGCATACAACACAGCTCTGCGTGTGCAATCGAGTAGATCTGCTTAGTACAGTGTCCCTGCAGACGCAACAACGCTTGTGCGTCAGCAACTGCCATTACGAGTTTCCGAGCGATATTTTCTCGTGCTTTTTGCTTATTCTTTACTTTGTAAATGGCTCAATGCTGATAAAGAAGAAGAGGATAAGTTTGAGAGTAGTTTCTGTTTCCTGACGCCCAACCTCAGGTATCTATGTGAAAGCCACAATTTTATGTGTATTTTTCCTCACTTCGCCTCTTTCTTCTTGTGAAGCTTCTCTTTCAGCGTTAGTGAAATTTGCAACAACTTTGATTTCCTTCCAAAAAGATGGCATTCAATCTATAGTTCGTGTGATAAAGACTATAAGTCATACATACAGTAAACATCTACTAGCTTCTAAAAAAATGCTTCACAACAAGATAGAGGCGTGAACTGACAAAAAATTCACATAGACGCGAAGAGGTCCCCAGTACGACGAAAAATAGAAATAAAACTGACGAGACGTAACTTTTGTTTGAAACTGAGAATAAGCAATGAATTGGCTACTCAGAAAACAGAGACTACTGTCTAACTTTATATTTTCCTCCTTTATCAGCAACGACTTACCTGAAAAGCAAAGAAAACACTATAAAACACTTGCTAAAACTAACAATGGCAATCGTTGATGCACAAGCGTGATCGGATCTGCAGGGACACTATATTGACCCATTGACGACGATGTGGACCGGTGGCACAAGCACTTTTTGCTGCCAGGGACGATGTGGCCCACACTCCGTGCAAATCCATTACTTCCTGGTCTAGTAGTTCTTCCATAGCTCAGTTTTTCTCCCAATTGTTTGCACTAGTGAGACCTGTAGACTTCGTCGTCCAAGAAGACCACTGTAGTCGTTTACACTTCTTTACATTTCGTAAATAATCATAATACTTTTTCAAGCGGAAAGTGTTGTGCAAAATCGCGTCGTCCCACAGCGCCGCCATGCAAAATTAGGCACCGTCGACAATGGGCAAAGCAGGAAATCTACTCGACTACGGAATTTGCTGACTGAATTTCAATTTTGCCTTTTAGAGCGAAACCGCACTTTATCATATACCTCTCCTCGTGAGGAGCAAACATGATAAATCATTTGACAGAAGTTTTGTTAAATTGATACGAAAGTTCTGACAGTTTGGACACTATCTATTTTCCTATACATAACTTTATCATGTTGTATCCTAAAATAGTAAGAAAATATGCGATCGAAATGGTTTTAGTCGTTGGTCAGTTTTACAGTGTAAGTATACTTAGCTTGACCATCTGTAATGAGGCTCATATCCCTAAACGCTTCTCAAAACGCTGTTTCAGCTGCTTACGAATTTTTTGCATCTTTACGCGGTCTGAAGACTGTAACGATAGCGTGCAGTTTCATGGAAAAAAGGTTTTCGGCTTTTTAGGGCTATCTAAAAGCACGCATTTTTCTAACAATCAGACCAAACAAATCAAAATTCGAAAGTGCCAGTTTTGACTTTGTTACCCAAAGCTAACAAACGTAAAGGTGTAATTTAGTTATGATCATAAGGCGCGGTTCGGATAGAGTAGGAAGCACAATTCTTACACACAATGAGCCTATATTTGAGGCTTCAGCGTTATTCAACCACTGACAGTTCGACCTTGATTGATCTATCAACATGTTACAATCAAGAAGTGACCAAGTTGTGTTCACACGATTTTCAACGTGTTGAAACACGATCTTTATGCACAAAAAGATAAACAATAAGTTTGTTTACAACGACTAAGAAATATTGAGCGAACAGATTTGGTACATAGCTTCGCGACGATGATGAAAAAACAACCATAAAAATTACGGAAAAATTAAGCGAATGAAGGAAGTTGTAACCTTTTATATTTTAGGTTGCTCCCGCGCAATCTGGGAGCACCCTGAGGTTGCGCGAGACCAAACAAAGTCATAATTTACCCACTTCGTCACATAATTTTTCGATTTTTTACATAAAGCTGTTCTTCACTTTAAGCTTTATCTGTGGATACTCATTTTAGCACAAGTTTCGATCCCACTGCTTTCCTACGGCACTTAACGATGCAAAAAGCCTTTTTCTTTTTCGCCTTCTGTTGTCAATTTTCTGCTTTTTTCTCAGTTTTATCCACTCATCGTTCGCTGCAGTTTATAAGCCGCACTCTCACAAATCCACAAAAGGTTATTCGTAAATTTCCGCAGTGTCAAAGGGAACTTCGTTCTGTTCTTCAAATGTCACCTCGTGCTGGGCCCTGCCTTCTGCTATTTTTAGGATACAAAAATTGGTGATTTATTGACATTTCAAAAGCTAATGATTTTGCTTAAATTAGGTAGGGACCCTAATACTAGGTTGGCTCGGAAATTCTGTCGCACCATTCTCAAAAAATCATAGCTTCTGGTTATTTGACCGATTTGCGCGTTTTCGTTCTTATCTGAAAGAGCAATTTATTTGCTTCATAGAAGTCTTAGAGGCTTTCAATTCAGCATACACTACATAGTTAGAGACGGTAGAATAAAATCACTCAAATTTTCAATTTCTGTGTAGGTAAAAAATCTGAAAATTGCAGTAAAAATCGGAGCTGTTAGTATGATAGATTGTATTGGCTGCTTTTTCTGACTGTGCAAAGTTTGTGCTGATTGCTAATAGAAACTATCATACTGACAGCTCCGATTTCTACTGCAATTTTCGGGTCTTTTATGACCCTACACATTCAAAACTTGAGTAATTTTCTTCTACCGCTTCTATCTATGCAATGTATGCTTAAGAAAAAGCCGCTAAGGCACCTCTATAAAGAGATTGAATTGCTCTTTCAGATAAGTATGAAAACACGCAAATCGGTTTACATAACCAGAACTTTTTCTTGAAAGCGGTGCGACAGAACTTTCGGGTCAATCTAACATAAGCTTTTGACTGCTTCTACCACTCCAGAAAGTTATTGAGAGGGTGCAAATAATGAGTGTTTTCCGAATAGTCACTTTGACATGTGATGATGTGTATTTATATTTTTAAATGTACCAAAACCCATAGACATAAATCTTTCTCAACACAGCTCGCATTCGTTCGTACTAAAGTCTTAATTTAGAGAAATGATTGTAACACAATAAAATTTTCAAACCCCATTTTTTACAAATCAGACTTCATATATTAATCAAGATTTCTTAGTATGGATGGGAAATGACTTATGTGCTTAGCGCTCTTTCTAAAGAGTAAGAAAAAAATGCATCTACCTCTATTCGCTTTAGCTTTCTCGTATTACCGTAGCTTCATTAATATAGTTCTCTTACTTGCTATAGCTTGGTGTTTAACATGCTAAGTACATCTCTTCTGAGTTTTTCCGTTTTATTATCCTTTTCTTTGTATATTCTGCTAGTTTCAAGAATTTTTACTTTTTTTGAAGGTTATTGCCGGCTAGATTTTGCCAATAGCTCGCTGGCTCTCAAACAAAATCTCATTTTCGAGAAAAAAAGATTTTCAATCGAAAGTTAAAGTGTTGGATCTTTCTCGTTAGAGTCGTTTGGATGTCTACTTTATAGCTATAAATAAATTAAATAGGCTAAATTTCGTCCACGCTTTAACATTCATTTCTGGTTCTGACTTCCTACTTTTACATCATTTATCCAATTTCAACTTTTTCTATGAAATTTGTGCATGCACAACAGTATCATTTGTCTTTGCACAAGGGTATCATGCGTCTGTCTTCTCGACCATGATTGGGGTTTTTTGCTGTTACATTTTTACGTACGCACCAGTGGCGGACCGAGGGGTCGCGAAAATGGGTCGCGAAATTTTTTTGAAATCTACTTACATGAGTTACAAAAATGTGCAAGTGACTTGTTTATTCTTGTAAATAATTGAAATAATTTTTTAAAATAAAAACTCAAATTAGCCTTATAAAAATTTTTTTCGGGGGTTTGGCTGAAGCCACGCCCCTTTTCTCACATTTTAGAGGTTGTGCACCCGCAAAAATTTTGAGAAGCACCCCAAAAAATTTTTCAGAGTGCGTGGCTAACGCCACGCACCTTCATTTTAAAAAAATTTTTGCCACCCCCCCTCCGGTCAGAAAATCCTGGGACCACCACTGGTATGCACTAATCATAAAGATCATTTTACTACTGCGATATTGCGAGTAAAGGTTTGACGAGTGTAGTCTCATATCCTTTGATAACTGCAAGATCGTAAGAGCATTTGTGCATGCAGATATTTTCAGCTCTGTAGAGTAAATGCTAGCTGATCTACTTTACTTCTGTGGCACTTTTATTACCCCTCAAAAACGGCTTTTTAGTTCTTCCAAAGCGTTTCAAATAGTAATCTTTCCAGGATTCACAGCAATTTCAGAGGAGTTGCTTACTGTCACGGAATTAAAGAACTGGGAAATGTCGCTTTTCAGAAAGTAAGTGAAGAAATCAAGTTTGTTTTTTATCCGTTCAACCTCAGAAATCCCAACCTTTTCTAACTGCAAGGGCAAAGATGATTAATCTATCAGTAAATGTCTCAATGCTGCGGGGTTGACTTTGCCCGAACCGAAATTTTGAAACATCTCCTCTTTACTGCAAATGTTACACTTCGCGAATGCATTCTAATCATACCCTCGATACAAAGAACCAGTACTCTTGCAACCTTTACTTTGAGGGCTATGAGGGGACACAACCTTCGCCTGGAAGAAAACAGAAGTCATTCGGGCTTTGCCCTGGATGTCCTGACTATGTCGGAACGTATGTTAATGAAGCAAATATAAGGAGTAACATCTTTAGCTTTCAGCAAAACCGAGAATTTGCGTTTTCATAGCCTTTTTTTACGTTAAAAAGAAGTTTGGGAATTTTTGCCAGAATTCAGAATAGATTTTTCAACTAACCTCTTATTTGACCTAAATCGAGTTTCAAAAGTTTAGAAAAGCTATTGGAGTTAAATAAAAACGAGAAAATGCGCTTAAATTTTGAGAGTCGACGAAAATGCTGGTCTATTTCGTTGAGTGATTTTCAAAGCTTGGGACGTTGTCAGTTCATCGACGTGTCATGACGATCAGAATGATATATAATGTTGCAGCTCCGCAGAGAGTGACCAGAGCCAAATGCCCCGTCGGCTCTGGTCTGTTTCCGCTGCTCGTCTGCGTTTCCGTGTGCGCTGCGCGCTACCTCGCTACCCCAAACGGGGGGCGCGGGGCATTTGGCTCTGGTACCCTTTTCTTCGTTGTTTCGCACCCAGTTATAGCAAGCTATATACCATTTTGAAGCTCTTGATCTCTATTTTCACGCCGACTACGTCCCAAAACCACATTTTTTGATTCGATCGAGAAATCCAGCAAAATCCTTGTTTTTGAAAATCTCTTGTTTTTCTCCTAGTTTAACTCTTTTCACGCGGTTTTTTCGTGCATTCTATAGATCTTGCTTTTGTTTATAACGCAGACGACCCAGTGTTTATCTCTTTCATTATGACGGAATATTTTGTGAAAAATCGTAAAAAAAGTGCATTTTCCTTTACCTTCCGTATCGGGCGTTCGCAGCGATTTTTATTTCAGCTTGGGCGAGATGCTCAGAACAATAAGCGCAACAATCCAGACAACGTCCCAGGAAACAGGAACGTCAATGCGGGGATAGAAACTTAAAGGACGCATCAAAAATCAAAACTCCGCGCTGCGAATTGCTGGTCCTGGAGCGAAAATTTGCACTTTGAAAAGCCGCCAAATGAAAAATTTCACACCGCATTGCACGTTTTTATCCGGTTCCCAGCAGCTTATTTTGCTTTTTATATCTGCTTCAATCATTTTCTCTTCTCTGCTCTTCTTCAAAGATTCACTATTTATGATGTCAGATGTTCGAACAACCTTCACTTTTGGCGCCCTGTCTCTAGACTATCGAAGGTATGATTTTAATGTCGCTGATGTCCGTTATAGATTGTCAAAAAGTGTTCGCATATTTTTGATTTAGTTTTTCTCACCATTTTTCAATGTTCCTGGTAGAATGTACATTTGCTTTCCAATGCTCTCAGTATGCATTACTATCTTATAGTTTAAATCGAAAGTGAAGTTAGTTCATCATATCAACGTCTCATAGAGCCCAGGAAAGCAAGAAATCTTTTGACAATTTTGAGCTAGATATAGGCGAACATAAAGGGGGGGGGGGGTCGCAGCCGTAACGATGAAAGGTGTGCGACGCTACCCGACAAAGCACTCGTTCGTTACTGGCATGTGTTCATATCTCATAACTTTTTTCGTCTTTTATCACTTGGAGTCTTGCATATGCTTTATACCAAAGAGGGTCTGGCAAATTTGGACCAACATCGCACATAAAACTGTTTTTGACAATTGATTATTTAAGCTCTCCGTCAATGGTCAGATCCTATGAGCTATCATTGACCATCGCGTAATCTTCGCGCGAACTCAATATCAAGGACGAGGGTGCGGGAAGTTTCTCACCCAAGCCATATTTTCGCACCTAAATGGTGTGCCTGCCGGCATATTCAGACTCGACTATAATTACGAGCTCGTCAGCGTACCGAGACGTTGCAAGCCCTTTTCCTTATTCAGTGTCTCTTCAGATGCTGAAACCGGGATTTCAAAAACAAAATTGAAGTTCAGTGGCGAAATTGCTCCAATCAAGACCAAATTTCGAATTTAGGGGTTTTCGAGCTTGTTCTTTTCAGTTGTAAAGTCTACTGCAAATTCGAGGTTCAGCACCGATAATGCCTAAGCAAAATCAAGTTCAGATTTAGTCGAAAATGCTTTGAACAAGATTAATTCGATTTTTCGAATTTATAAACAAACTATTGAAAAAATATCCGTACCGGTTTTGTTTGTTTTTTTTTCAAGATAATGAACTTGTTTTATATCATTGTTTGACATCATTCCGAGCTCCCAGGTTTACTGGCATGACTTTCCTGGCACTGAAACAGCCTCAATGACCTCAGTGACCTGCGATATATCAAGAAATCTTGCCTGGACCATTATCAGTACTGCATCTTAACATATTTTCAAAACTGAATTTAGGAAAAAAACCATTACGGAATCACATATAGGTTGTTTGTAAAATCGTAACGACGGATTTGGCTGGGATCTTTGCGCCCGCAGGAGCAAACTCCCTCATACAAAACGGCATCACCTCAACTCTCAGTTTAGTCTATTCCATTGTATCAATACCGTCATTAGAGGACCACATGTCGCCAAAAAGGGGAGGTCCCGCGGTCAGTCGCAACAAATACGCACCATTGCATATGCATGAAGATGCGTTTCTGCAAAAAGTCCGCGCGGGACCCTTCCACATTTGTCGACATATAGTTCTGCACCTGTCATTTGTGAGCAGAAAATCGTTCGGGTATGAATGAAAACCCAGGTAAGGTTGTCGGGAGGTTCGTGCCTGTCGCGCGATCACGCCATCGTCGCGATTTTTCGAATTTATCAACATAACTCGGTTTTTGTGAGATAAACGTTTTTTGTTTCCAAAATTCAGAAAATCAAATCACTTTTGAAGCACAAAACATACACCGGTTTTGAGTACCTGTGAACCTAAACTTCGGTCTTGTCGTAGAAAACAAATTTTCGATTTTTTAAGCAAAGACTCTAAATCCAAATTTTGATCCTAATGGCATTATCGGTAATAAAGCTTGACTTTGCAATAAATAAAACTCACTATTGAAAAAAGCAACGTCGAAAACCTTTTAAGCCGAAACTTGGTCTTGATCACAGCAATTTAGCCACTAAACTTCAATTTCGAAACTCTCTTTGAAATCTCGGCATCCGAGGCAATACTGATACGGAAGCGGAGCTTGCAGTGGCTTGGTATTCTAGGAAGCTTGAATCATAGCGAGTCCGAATGCGCCTGACAGGCACATCACTTAGGTGCGAGAATATGGCTCAGATGAAAAAAAAACTTTCCTCCACCTCCTAACCCCCTCAAAGACTTTGTTCTGTTTATTCAGTGATACTTTAGCGAAAGGTCTAATTAATAACCTGGAGCTTTTCCGTTATCCAGCAACCATTTCTTCTAGAAGAATATGTTCTATTTTTTATATCAAAATTAGTGCCACTTATAGAGAAAGTGTCACCACCTGCCATGCATAAAAAAATGACATGTTATGTTCATCTTTAAGAGATTTTGTCAAGAGTTTTATGTCGCTTATCTGCAAACCATTGTGCTCTGAATCATTAACCCATCAATTCACATCCAAGAATACTTCGACATTGTGGCAATTTTATTTTCTCAATGTTTTCGTTAGGTTGGCTCAGAACAAAGAACGTTATGTTTCCATTATCTAGGCTTCAAAACAAGGGCAGCAAGGTACTCTAACTTAGGGGTTCGCCCCGTGCGAGTGGCCAATGACAACTATGCAATCGCTCTTTGACGTGTGCAATTCTACAGTCGTCAAGGGCCGATTGTACGACTAAGGTGGATCGCAAGCGAGGTTACCATTGCCTACCGCTTGCGCGGAAAAATTGACCACACGGCCATTTACACGGTCTCCCCCTCTGGATGTGGTGCGGGATACTATAATCAACATTAACTTATTTTTGTTCTCGTACATGCACGCAATCGGGAATCTGGTTCAATGTTTAACCGTTCTTGCACGTTGGTCCAGCTTCCACTGAAGCGAACCCGACCCTCATTGACCATTTTGATCAACCTCAACATCACTCATTTGAGTCTTTCAGTCGAGATACCAAAGCTCGGTGCTAATTTTAACTGTCAATGTTAAGGGCATCCAACCACAGCGTCACTCATTCAGATATCGTTTGCGCTCACAATTTATGAATATTGTGAAAAAGATATAGGAGTCACTGTCTACCGCTCGCATGGCATGTGGTATTGCCGGCCAACTCGCGCATTGTGACCACTTGCATGGGCAAATCTATTGCCGGCCGGTCACACTGTAAGATTGCCTGCTGGTTGAGCATCATTTTCATTATGTGGCGCACGCACAGAAGCTTTAGACTATGTCGTCCTTGCTGAATTGCCTAAAAGAGGGCCGCCCGCATCGCAAGAATTCATGAGAAGCCATATTCGCATGCTTTCCTGGCTAAGTTTGTATGCGAAAATAGTTCAAGAGGCATAAGTTGAATCATTGCTTAAAGCAATCAAGATGTTCTAATGAAGGATTCAGACGGTTTTGCTTCCGTGAGAGCTGAAGTGAGTCAATTCAAGTGCTCTCGCACCTCGCTGGAAATTTTGAAAAGCGTCAAAATCAAGCAGAGCGTGTTGATTTTTACCGTGGCTTGTGGCCTGTCAATCCTTTTATTGCTAGGATTAATGACAAAAAGTTTTAAGTTTTAAGACAATCACATGTTACATGAGGACTTGTAAAAAATGGTCTAATTAGGAGAAGTACCGCGACCTAATTCGATGTGTGTAACAAAACCGACTGAAAAAATAAGCGTAATGTTCTGAGAATTGCCTTTTTTATACCCTTAAACGTTTCAGACCGCGAAAGCGCGCGCGGGGAAAATAGTTTATTCAGTCGTTAGCCAACAAAGGGACCTTATTTCGTAGACTTTGGGCCTACATCTGTAATCAGCATGTTAGATAAGCTCCATACCCAAAGTTCTGAGTGAATTCAAAATGTTTGAATTTTGTCGCTTGAGAGGGACTTCTGCACTTTCTTCAAATAGGAAGAAGCACTCAGGTTCTAATAGCATTCAAAAGTATATATGTTGCACACGGAACATATACATCATCATCGAAACTACGGTTTTTCTTTTCTAAAAAAGCAAGAAAAAGTTGTGACTTGCACGCTTCGTCCGCGTCGCCGCACTTCGTTACAACTGTTGTTTGGTTTGCCTTCATATCTCTTAAAGGTAGCGTCCAGGCAGATCTGCACCTATCGGGATTTTACGTGGAAAGTACTTTTGGGCCCCATTTAAGGCACTGCCCAAACGGCAGCGCAGAGAGTGCTCTAACGGCTGAGATATTTTCCTCGAAACTAGACCCCGCGATAGTATTTGCATGGGTTCATGGCAGTCACGCGCCAGTACCCACGCTTTGCGCCGCGAATCCATGCGAAATGCGATCGCGGAGTCCAGTTTCGAGGAGAATATCTTAGCCATTAGAGCACTACCTGAGCTGCAGGTTGGGTAGTGGCTTAGTTAGGGTCCCAAAATTACTATCCACGTGAAATCCTCATGTGTCCAGACTTGCCTGGACGCTGCCTCTAAACAAATATTGGCGGCAGGGCTCCACAGATTCACCTGGGAGGTAAACGCTTAAACCTTTGACATAATGACCTTGGACTAAAAAAAAGTCTCCCGTAAACGTCAAAAGATCCTTCAAAGCAGCGTGTTGAACCAAGTGCAGCGCCGGTCCGAAACGTGTTTAACGAAAATTACTCTAAAATTCTCGTTTTAGGTGAGCAATTTTCTAATGATTGAAGACGATGCAGACGAAAGAAGACGCCTCTGCACAGGCCTTGGATGTATACAAAACTTACACCTTTTGAAAGGGTATGATCCAGACCACAAAAGTGAATTAATATGATAAAAACGATTTTTTATGATGAGTCATAAACAACCCACGCAGCTGAATCAATCATCACGTTTAGATTTTAACGCTAAATTTAGAAATAATTATAAGTTGTTGCATAGTGAAAGGATGGCGTCTGGACTTGCCCTTTTGGTTGAGAAAATCACGCAACCAAGTCCTGCCACCTTATTCATAATCTTTGCCTCCTTAAACAAAGCGCACTTAGAGCCGAAAGGGTAGACAAAGTGTTAGTGGAGGTTTAGTCACCCCTCGTTTAGCAAAAAAAAATAAAAGTGACCACTGTTCTGAACTTCTGAACTTCATGAGTCAAACAAGTTCAGTGGGAAATTGTGTGTGTGTGTGTGTGTGTGTGTGTGTTGTGTGTGTGTGTGTGTGTGTGTGTTTTACATTATACAGAGTGTCCCAAAAGTAAGTACGCACTTTACAATCGTTAATATCTTTCTTCCCATTGTGTCTTTTTTCGCCTTTGAGCCTATTCTGTAGAGAAGGCTTCAACTTAGATTCACCTTAAAAGCGAATCACCGACCGATCTTCATTACTGTAGGATAACTGTAGAAACTTCGGCAAGGATTTCAGGCCATTGGAAGCCATATTCTGCCTTGGAACAAAACCAGATAACCTAAAAATTCTTATACTAAGGTAATGGAAGTTGCTGTTTTCAAATATGAAATTTCCATTTTACTATGATTTTTCTAAAGTTATCCCAGATAAACCGTTATATCCAAATTCTCAATATTTATCAGAAATGTGATTACACCGTCAAAAAAGCTGAAAACACTTAAAAAGTTGTGTAGTGGATCCAGCGTGCGCGAAAACCCTAGTACACTATTTCAGATTTTTTTTTTAAATTTTGTCATATGACATATTTCACAATAGTTCTACTTGCTGGAAGTTTTTACCGTAATCCCAAGCGATGAAGAGCGGTCGGTGATTCGCTCAATACCATAAGTCTAAGTTGAAGCCTCCTCTACAGAATGATACTTAAATGGCGAAAAAAGACCCATTGGAAGAGAGATATTGACGATTGAAAAGTGTGTACATACTTTTGGTACACCCTGTATAAAGGGTAGGGGGGGAAGTCCTTGAACAATTTTTGATGTCATTGTATGTTCGGATTTTCCATAAATGTATGCTAAATACATTTATTTGCTTCCTGTACCCTTTAAGGCAGTGTCCCACCAAAATTTAGTTGCCGAGATTTTTGCATTTTGCAAGCCTGTCGGGCCCTGTCTAGCGCTGCATGGGTTTAAACTCGCACGAAGTTCCCAGAAAACTCCGTTTTCTGGAGGCCCCGCGGAAGCAACGTGGACGAGTTGTACCTTCCATCTTCAGGCTCAGCCACAGTGGCAGCAACAGAAGGGAGGTGGATGCCAAGTGGAGGAACATGTTCAAACGCGTAAGGGGGGAGACCGAAGGAGTCGTCCGCGCGTACCAAATCGCTCTTCGCGTTACTTTGAGCAAACTTTTCTCAGAGTGGAGGGGGCCAAATTGAGTGGGACTTGTTGCAATGGCCTATTTAGAAGTCCCTGTATATGTGAAGATCCGCGCAATCTCAACTTTGGTGAGACACCTTTAAATACAAGTCCTGCAAAAACCGGAACATTAGCTTTGTTCCTGTTGGAAATATGCCTCTTAGAACAGAATGAGCGTTGGTGGCCAAGATGCACGAGAGGAGGATAGCTTATTACCAGATTGCGTGGGTTCCTTAAATTTCACAGATCAGCGTCTTTTCCACCTTGCGTCGTTTCCAGGATATGAACAGCTCCCAGGACTGTTGTAAGAGTGGTAAATTAGCTACTGCGGACATCTGCACAAACCTGAAGATTGCTCTCCAGCGCTGTCATCGCAATCCTCGGCGAAGCTTGATTAAGCTGGCTTCAGAGCTGTCCATCTTTAGCAAGACAGTCTCCAACATCGTGGAACAGGACCTTGTAATGGAGCTTTCAGGATGCCAAAAATTCATGCCTCTTGAGGAGACTCGAAGCTGAATTGACTGCGCCGATGCCTTCGACTGCTTGAACGTCTCTCCAAAACATGCCGCCGAACGATACTCTTTTTTGACGTCAAAATTTGTACCGTGAAGCAGCTTTTTGACCGCCAAAACAACAGAATTATCATCTAATCGACTCAAGAAGCCAATAGCAAGGGTTCAGTCGCAAAGGAAACGTTTCGACTGGCTTCTGTGATGGTTGGTTGCGCCGCGATAGCTTCCAACGGCAAGATGCCGCTGATTTTCGTTTCTGAGAGCATTAAGGTGGGCAATACGTATGTGTATAGCATCTTGAAAAAAATAATTGTTGGCCTGAACCAGTACCCATTTGCCGGAAGCGATTGGTGCTCCCAGCAGGTAGCGCATCTGCGCACAAAGCGAAGGTTGTTTAAACATGGCTCCAAAACAACCTCTAGGACTTCAATACTCCTTCAATGGCCGCCTAATAGCCGGTTTTGTAATTTATATACCCTCGACTACAGTCTATGGCAGGGTTGAGCAAGAGGTCAGGCGCAAGGCTGCCAAATACGACCCCCCGTGGTGATGCTAAAATACGACCCCCCATCTCCCCCTCTTCCCCCCCCCCCCCTCCCCACCCACCTCTGCACATTTCTTTTCTGTGTAACCCTTACTATTACAAAAAATTTATTAAGTGCAACAGATTTTCAAGAAAAAAGTCCAAAATCCAAAGTCTTTGGTGCTTTGACTTTGGTGCTTCCGATTTTTTTCTTTCGAGACACAGCTCATTTATAATTCCTGGAGAGTTTGAAGTGCATCTGACAGTACTGTACTCGTAAGACGAGAGACGAGGGCCAACTCCGTGGACGCTTCTGAATATAAAAATGCTCGTCAAAGACTATGAAATCGTTGTTTAGCCGAAATCGTGCATTCTTTGCAGCTGAAAATGCTACATAACGTGCTGCAGTCTAAAATGGACATTGCGAAGAATGTCGGTATTGCCTTTGCAGCTTTCCTGTCTTAAAATTTTGTTCATTGATCGTGTTTTTTCCTCCTTGATGTAGATGATGCGTTGGATCTTTTCGACAAGGTTCTCCTGGTTCTTCTAATGACACAGAAGCAAGGTCAGTATCATTTATTTTTGCGATGATCTTCTTTTTTACTTGAAAACATTTCCTTGCACCTTCTATTTTTATATTACTTTTTTACATCTATACTTGTATTGATGGATCGAGCAGATGCACCTAAGGGAACGGACATAGGTTGTCGCTGTTTTCGGGGTCAGAGATTAGAGAATGCGTGAAACGTGGAGGCTATCATGAGGTCCTGCAGCGACCGGAAAAAAACTAAAGAAAACCTCGGCAACGTCGACAACACCGACAACATCGAAAACACCGACAACAAGGACAACCTATGGCCGTTCCCTAAGGGAACGGTCATGGGTCCGGCAGCGGTTGTCGAGGTTGCTGGCGTTGCCGACGTTGCTGAGGTTGCCGGGGTCAGAGACAGCTCAAAAAGCGCCGAAACATGGAGGCTATCATGTGGTCCTACCACAATCGAAACACGGCAGCGCGGCAACCTCGGCAACCGTTGCCGACAACCTCTGGCCGTTCCGGGTGCATCTGCTTGACCCATAAATACAAGTATAGATGTAAAAAAGCAATAAAGATAAAAAGTGCAAGAAAATGTTTTCACGTAAAGAAGCAGATCATTTTCGCAAAAATAAATGATACTGACCTTGCTTCTATGTCATCAGGAGAACCCTGTCGAAGATGTGGATCCAACGCATCATTTGCAACACGGAAGTGGTAACTCCTCCAGAACATCTTTCAGTCGCAAAAAATGCAAACAAGATTTGATTGAAAACGCAGCAAATATTGAGCAATAAAGCCAACATGAGAGTATAATTTCGAAATTGAGTACCTATTGCGTTCAAACTGCAGAGCACGCGTGAACATATTAACGGATATCACAACGGAGAAGTGGTAGCCAAAGGCTTGAAAAAGCAAAGCCTGCAAAGCAATCTCAATCGATTTACCTCAAGCATATAATTACCGGCATAGAGTACGATGGACAGGGCCTTTGCTGCTTTTAATGGTTTTCGTATCCGCAACAACCTTTTATGACAGCGTACGACTATCGTTTCCGACAAAAGACGATCATTCGAAAGGCGCCTATAAAACAACCGAAACTTCAGAATGAACATGCATAGATCTCTTCACCCTGTTCTATCGTCTTATTGTCCAGATCGGGTGCGTGGCGTTAGGTACCCAGCCGAGGTGCGGGCGTTAGGTACCCAGCCATCAGTGATATACACTAAGCCACTCCCCTTGGCTGCTTTAACAGCGGGTACCTAACGATACACCAAATCCTAGCTGCTAGAAAGGCTCACCAAACTCGCTAAAGCGCTGGCGCTTGCGGCCCACATGAAAAAGATAGTTCGAAAAAATCAAAAAAATGCGCAAATGAAAGCGCAAATTCACAACGCTTTTTCTATTGCTTTTTTTAATCAATTTTAAAATCACAGAAATTCGTGTTGAAAGTTAACAACAGGTAAACCTTTTATGGGCAGTTCACATGGTTTTGCAAAAAAAATCGTGATGATTTGAACCAATAATAATAGAGGGAATTTAATGAAAGTAAACCTTGTAGAGTACCAATAAATCAAAATTTTATGATTTTAATGAAGAAAAGCGCGCTTTCGGATGCGCCCCTGCTATTAAATGGAGCATTCCTTTCACATATTGTCATCAGGTTTGTTTTGAGGTGTGAAGTTAAGGATTGTAACACTTGCGTTAATATTGCCACAGGAATTGTGAACTATGTCAACGTAGATTATTAGGGCTGTTATTTCGGTCATAGTTAAGACCAACAGATTTATGGGGCATTGATAAGAACACATTTTTCTTTCTTTTGGAAGATCTTTCGTGTGAAAATTTCAACGAGCTAATCATGCCTACGTTCTCTGTAATGCTTTTTGGAGGCCTTCATATTGCAGCTGTTTCATACTCA